GGCAACTCAGAGGTCACTACAGGGAAGGGCTGTAAGGATGAAAAAAGGAAACGGCAGTATCCTTATCCAGCAGTTCTTTTAGTTGGGTTTTTTTGCATTGAGCAGCTGTGTGCTCCTTAAAGAGCGAGCACAGTGCCAGGTCGTTACTGCTCTGATTGAGAACGGCAGAATTGCCTTAGTTCTGTCACTCCTGTGCTGGGCTGGTTCGTTCTCTTTTAACCCAAGGGAGGCGGTTCGTGTTTTTATTAGCTTTACTTACAGACAAGCACAACCGGTGGCTGGAGTTGTAATATTTCTCTACTTTACAAACACTTTCAAACTCAGAGTGAGCTCTTTATCTGAGGATTCCCTTTTGACCTGGATCGGGACAAGGAACCAGATGGCTCTGGCAACGGCTGCGGAGGGCGACGGGCAGCGAGCTGTCACCTGGGACGGAGCCTCCCCTGGCTCTGCTGCGGTCGCTTCGACCCACCAGGAACTTTTGAGCTTGGTGTGTTATTGCCGTTCAACCTCTGAGGGCATCGACCTATTTAATTCCTTTAAAGATCCTTTATACGAGCTGTAATAACACCCTTGGGGCTCCAGAATGTCCTTGAAGTATTTCTGGCACGTGGCCCTCCCCAAGGGGCCCCGCGCGCCCACGGCTCCCAGCAGCTCCAGGGGTGTCCTACATGGGATCTGGCGCTGGGCTTGGCCCCCGGCTCCCTCGACCGGTGCCCGTGCTGGGCGCTCCCGGCTCCCCGTGCCATCGGCAGTGCGGAGAATGGTTTTTTCTCCTGTTGTGTGACCTGACTGCGATGTTTGTGCACGTAAACCTCAATATTGGGGAGATGCTATCCTGTTTCTCAGCGGTTTTGTTATCAGTGGATTTTTTTTCCCCTATGTTTCAGTGGGTTTATTCCCACTTATTTCCCACTGGATGGAAATTGAAGCATTAGCAGGAACTAAGGTCTAGCTTGGACTGCAGGTTTCTCAGAATCTGTAGCTTTCCACGGCAGCTTATTTAATTTGCGTATAACACTTTTTTGATTGAGATATCCACAATTTTTAGGTTGTGTCTGCCCTCGTGTTACAGCAGGGGAGTCCCACGAAAGTCAGCGATGTGGAGGGAGGGCAGATTTAGTCCCTGGTTTGTTTCTAAAGCAAGATAAATGAGTTCTCCAGCGCAGCGCTGTGCCCTGCGAGCTTGTCTGCTCAGCACACCGCTCCTAAAGCTCAGCTCAGAGGACAGAGGTCTAAAATTCTGGGAGGAGGACATTTCTGCAAGGTGGATATTTTTTTCCTGAACCAGCAACCTAACAGTGTAGCAAGGTGGGCACTGTCGTCTAGAGAACAGGAGCGATGCAAGAGTACAAAATGATGCTAAAGTCGCTGTCGTAAACTCCAGGTGTGACATTCCTGGCATAAATTCTGTTTACAGAAGAGGAGGAGTTGTCTCAAATGAAGAGGGGAACTTGGGTCAGTTTTTGGCGCTCTCTTATTCCGTGTTCCCAGAAAACCAGCAGAAATCTGCCCGGGTAGCGGGGTCGGAGCTGAGGGCGCTGTGCTCTCGCGGGGCTGGAGCGAGCTGCTGGGT